ACTCAGTGGCGAATCGGCGCCGCTCGCCACGCCCGCGGTCTCTCCTACCCTTTCGAGCTGCACCTCCTTGACGACAACGAAGACAGACGAGTGGGGAAAGAATTGGAAGGGGAAAAGTCTAGAGGGGCTGCCTACAATTTTACCCAATGCCCTCCACGCTCACGTGACGAGCAGATGTTTATTGATCCAACCTGGACGCCACATGGACAGTCACGTCGGTTAAAAAACTGAAACAAAGCGGTATAGGCTAGGAATGCGCCACTAGTAAAGATTATAGACCCAAAAATCCACTTTCAGAGTTGATGGACCTAAGTGAAACTTGAGTGCAAGTTGATGGACCACTGATGCATTTAACTCTTTTGTTTATTTTTGGGCTGTAAGATCTGGGTTTCCTAGATATGCTCAAATATTATCTCCTGTCATATGCTTTTGCAAATGGCTGCTTCATGAGTATTGTGTCATTTTCAGTAGTAGTGGTATTTTCTTTGTAACTAGCTGCAGTTTATTAGTTAGTATAGCAACCAGCTGCTAGTAGCAGTGGCAGTTTCTTGCGAACCGAGACAAGCAAGCAGGCAGGGAGCTACAATAGATGCATGCATGAGGTGAGATTAAGAAGACATCCCGCCGACCAGTCCTGGAACCAGATCTTATTTTGTGTCTGGTACTCTGATGAGCGTGACAACAACGGCAGCGACACATCCGATGCTAGCTACTAGTTGGAGCCTTTAACTCTAGAACGAACAACATCAACATTACAAAAGGCTAATAATTCTGGTACTAGTGTTCTCCTAGGAATGGTCAGCATGCAGAGTACGTGATACATGTGTGCAAATCCATGAACGAAGACTGCTGCCTGTAATCCATGAACCCTAACAACCAACATTCATTGACAAATTATTTCAGTAACTTTAGTATTAATTTTATATTCATTTTAAGTTTTAATTGATTTCTTAGTTTTTTAGTTTAGTTTATCAGTTAGAGTTCAGGTTTCAGAGTTCCTAGACTTTAGTTTCAGGTTCGTTGATATGTTGAGTTTTTTTCAGCTTCAGTAACACAGTTGTTTCAGATTTAGTATGTCTGTTTAGTGCTTTCAGTTTTTTAGTCCTTTGAAGTTCAGACTTGGTTTCTTGATAATTGATCGCTCCTATGTTTTGTAGTCTGGCAGGTCATAGTAGAATGTCGTTGTGCTTTTCCTGTTGGCCAGCTTCTTGTTTTCTTCTTTGCTAATTAGTAGCTTGAGCTTTGAATTTTAGTGTAACTTTAGTGTCATTCATTGTCAAATTATTTCTTTTTAGTGTCATTAATTATATATTCATTTTAAGTTTTAATTGATTTCTTAGTTTTTTAGTTTAGTTTATCAGTTAGAGTTCAGGTTTCATATTTTCTAGACTTTGGTTTCAGGTTCATTGATATGTTGAGTTTTTTTCAGTTTCAGTAACACTGTTTAGTGCTTTCAGTTTTAAAACTTCAGTTGTTTCAGATTTAGAATGTTTGTTTAGTGCTTTCAGTTTTTTAGTCTGTGTGAAGTTCAGACTTGGTTTCTCCAAGATACCTGTGTCGCTATGATTAGTAGTCTGGCAGTAGGATGTCGTTCTGCTTTTCCTATTGGCCAGCTACTTGGTTTCTTTGCTAATTAGCAGCTCGAGCTTGGAATTTATTTCAGCATCACATTAGTTTAGTGCTTTCAGTTTCACATATCTGCCACAATATAAGCAAATATGTTGAGTTTCAGTTTCAGTCACACAAGTTTTTTTTTTTTTTTTGGGGGGGGGGGGGGGGGTCAGTTTTGCATGCAGTAACAGCTCTTGAAAATTTAGTTATAGTAAACCTACCTTTCAGTTTCAATTATATTATGACTGTGCACATATCTGCCACCATTTAAGCAGATATGTTGAGTTCCAGTTTCTGTAACTCAAGGTTTGAGGATTACAGTTATGCATGTTGCATGCAGTAAATAAATTTTAGAGCTCCTGAAAATTCAGTTACAGTAAACCAGTACGCTAAAACTAAATTGCAATGCTTTGAATTCCTATTTGAATGGAAGAAGGCTGTAGCAGGGGCCGAATAGTAAATGATGATGGGCTGAATAGTCATTTTCTGAAGACAACTATTGGGCTTGTAGCTGAAAATTGCAGTGCTTGTCTACTTCTGTTGTAAAACTATGGGCTGCTATTTTTTGTTATCTATAAATTTTGGTGTATGTATGAATAGCTTCATAAAGTTGACAACTCTGTTTATTATAGGACATGTTAAATTCAGAACCTTAGCCTACCCCAACTTGTTTGGGACTTAAAGGCTTTGTTGTTGTTAAATTCAGAACCTTACCCTTTTCTGAAACACAAGTTACCTGAAGCTGTCTGAAAAGTAATTTATTTTACAACTGAAGCTATAGATGGCTGATATGGCTTTGTAGCTCCGAAGTTGTAGTTTGTGTAGATGTTCATATAAACTGATTGGCTTTTTGTATCTTTGAAGCTGTAGCTTTTGTCAGAGATTAACTACGTCAACATGATGATGTCCAGGTATTTAATTATCCTGCTGAGAAAAACAGTAGTAATTATTTTCCTTCCTGCAACTGATTATGTATTTTCATTTATTAAAGGTCCTATGTGATAATACAACCAGGCATATTAAAGTGTCTATCTAAATACTAAATTTTCCTGAAACCTTTTAAGCTGAGTTTGTCATGGTAAACTGTATGGGAAGGTAATTTTCGGTTTAGAAAATTACTAGGCTTTGAATTGTCTTAATGCTGCATTGTTTTTAGGCAACTAGTGTATTTTACATATGCAGGCTGTATTGGCTTGCTGCTACTTTCTGGAAGAAAGTTAGGCTGCAATGTCCTTTCTGAATTTTCCTATTCTGCTTGCCTCTCTTTTAGTTATGCAGCTTGTTTCATATCTCCATCTGTTATGCAGGTACCCAAATAGCAGTAGCAGCAAGCTAGCAACCAGCACGGTATAACAAGTGCTGGTCATCAGGTTTGCTTTGGAAAACTAGCAGCTCGTAATTATCTTTGCTAACTCCTCAATGCTTAATTTATGATTGCTGGGATGTGCTTCTTTAATTATTAGTAGTGCTATGGTAACTGCAACTGCTAGTCTGTCCTCCCGTTGCCTACACTAAATTTAGTTGTTCTAGCAAGTATCAATTTGTTTTTAGAAAAAAGAAGGAACACAAAGTGTGATTCTTCTTTTATAAAGAGAAAATGCATGCACGAGAAACTTGGGGGTGTATCTTCAGAAGAGATCAGGCTGACAACAGCCTAGTAAGCTGTGAATCTTGAATCTGATGTTTTTTTAGAATCTATTTTAAGTTAAAGTTCAGGTCAGGTATGTAGAATGTAGGTTCAGTTCAGTTTAGTATCCTGCAGTAGAGTTTCAGTGAACTCAATCCCATCGTGATTCAGGTACTAAATTTCAGTTTCTTCGTGCAGCAGACGTCCATGTCTCTATCTTGTCTAGCTGTGGCTTGTTTTGTTCAGAAGCAGCTGTAGCTTGAGTGCTTTATTCATTGAGTACAACTAGCTGCACTTCATTGGGTTTATAGTTGCTTTATTTATTTGCAACTCAGTTTACAGTGGTTCATTGAGTTTCAGAAAATTTGGGGTAGTAACTAGCTGAGTTTAGTGTGGTTTTCATTTCCTGTGCAACGTCATTTTCATGATACAACAATCTACCTTTATAATTTGTTCCATGCTTAGCTGTTGTGTTTTTTTATAGTGGTTTGTTTCTTCTATTAGTCTTTTTTTTAGCTTGAACTGCATGGATGCCTGGCCCGTTGGTGGATGGTTAGCTGTAGGTTAGTTTCATATCAATGTTTGAATGGTTGGTAATTGAGCCTTTCGGTTTTTAATATTTGAGAATGTGTTTGCGAGCATCGACTCTCCAAGCTACGGTCCTTAGACAGTGTTCGGAGAGTGGAGGTCATTCTTCGTCTCTGAAAAGATGGAGCTGCTCCGGGTACTGGACCTGGAGGGTGCATCAGGTGTACAAGATGAAGACTTGGAGCAGATGGTGAAGCGACCGTGTCGCCTCAAATTCCTCTGTCTGAGGGTGTGGAGATGTCAGTCGTCTACCGGACTCCCTGGGCAGCCTGAGGCAGCTCCAGACTCTAGATATCAGGGTCACAGCCATATGCAAGCTACCCAAGAGCATCGTCAAGATAAAGAAGCTACAATACATTCGAGCAAGCATGGCTGAAACAAAAAGAAGCCTACCCGTCACCAGCAGAATGTTCTGTTATTGGTTTTTTTAGATTTGGACCCACTATGATAACGGGTTTTGGCTTCAGATGTCCTACGGCTCTTTTTAGTTGGCTTCTTTTTTTTTCAGAAGATGTCTTTCGCCGATCGGAAAGATCATTTGTATTTTTTGTTTTTTGTTGTTCGTAATTATTTGTTCCATGTGCACGTGTCCTATTCTGATTGATTTTAAAAAATTCGACTGAGACACAAACATAAATCAGTCGAATGATACGTAGTCACTTCCTTTCGGGACTGGGTGATGCGTAATCGAACTGGGCCGAGCAAACCCATGGCCATCTATAGCTCCGACTAACAGGGCCCTATCAACACAGGCTGCCCGCCCACCCGCTTTTCGGTGCCCTGCTTGGGCCCATGGCAGATGGAGCAGGCCTATCAACACAGGCAGGCCGCAGCCCAGTACGTGTGCCTCGGCCTCGAAGCCCATGCGACTGATGCCCACTCGTACCGTACGCGACCGCCGAGGGACTCAGTGCCGAACGCCCTGGAAACCGCCCGCCGTGTGCCGGTGTCCACGCGCGCCCCGGTGCGGCCGCCACGACCGCGGACACGTGCCGGGCCTCGCGCACGCGTCACCCCACGGCCGCCTCGCCGCATTAAAGCCCGCGCCGCGGACCCCCGGCACTTCAGTTCATTCCAGTTCCCTCCCATCGACGGCGCGCCGTGACTAGTGAGTGGCGAGCTGCGAGCAGTGCGTGCCCCGGGCTAGGCAAAGCAAGAAGAGGCGAAGAAGAAGATGAGCAGGCTGGACACGAGGACGCTCAAGGACGAGCTGACGAGCATGGACAGGCGGTGCCTCCTGGACCTCGGCCACCCTCTCCTCAACCGCGTCGCCGACAGCTTCATCCGCGCCGCCGGGGTCGGGGCGGCCAGGGCCGTCTCCAGGGAGGCCTACTTCGTCACCGTCGAAGGTACCATGCATTCCCGTGTTGTGCGAGTGAGACGGCAGCGAGCGGCTGGTGCTCTGCTCACCGTCCATTATTACGATCTGCAGGGCTTTCAGGAGACTCGTCCGGGCTGGACCCCGACGGCGGCAAGAGGAGCCATTTCTCCAGCATCAGAGGTGATGACGGCCAGAGGTCGCTGGACGCAGTGGTATGTTACAAACACAGCTCAATGCCGCGATCTGTTTTGCAGATTCATTAATCGTTTTTGTTTTCTCCCTCTGACAACTTACTGCCACATGCTATGCTAAACTTGCTGCAGGTAAAAACGGCTGGCAAGGAGGCCTTCCAGTGGGGTGAGTGTTCAGCTCCAGCACAAGCAAACTCAAAGCAGAGATTGTGATTACAGTCTCTTCAGATCTAACAATCGGATGTCAGTAAGTGTAACCCTGTTTTTTTTTTCTCGACGCGCAGGGTTGGCAGCCGGAGTCTACTCTGGGCTCACGTACGGCCTGAGGGAGGCCAGGGGATGCCACGACTGGGTCAGTGCCATTTCCTAATCTATGTCTTGGCTCGGTCTCGCGTGTAAACTCTGAACAGCTTCGACAGAACAAAGTAAAGCACCTGCTGATTCCTGCCCGTTTATGTCCTTGTGCAGAAGAACAGCGCGATCGCAGGTGCAATCGCTGGGGCAGCGGTGGCGCTCACAGGTGACGCCGGCGGCCACTCCGACAAGCTCGTCCATTTCGCCATCACCGGCGCTGCGCTCTCCAGTGCCGCGAGCTTGCTCTCCGGCATATTCTGATTGAGCCCAGTCAGTTCACCGGACACGGGCACGGGCTCACTGCCCGGTTAGGCGCCTCATCAGAGGGTTTACCATAAAAAGTTGATTTCAAGTCAACAATGAAATGTATTCCTAAGTTCCTTTTAGCTTCCGATGAAATGTATTCCTAGGTCCCTCTCAAGTCTCAGCTTCTTGCTGGTCCGGCACTTTGCACCTACAGTGTAATCGTTGCTGTGTATGAGTTTCAAGACATTTCAAGTTATCTTTTCCGAGTTCCTTGTGGTTGGACATGTGGAAATATTTTAGCACAAAAGGTTTGAATCTCTTCATGAATTTAATAATGTAGGCTTGAATTTCACACTTTGAACACATAAAAGAACATACTTATATACGTGTGACGCAGTTCGAATCTGATCCACATACGAAGTTTTGGTTGTTGCAAGTATGATACCGATCGGTATCGGGCCCCAATTCCGAGTCGGATTATTGTGCTTGCGCTTTTATTCTTGACTACTTATATACATGTGGACGCGCAGGGCAGGGTAGAGCAGATCGAAGGCAGTCAGGATTAATAAGACCGATATATGAACCAGCCGATCTCCAAACGACGCCGTCCCGTGGCGCCGGAGGTCGGCGATGGCAGCATGATTCCAGATGAGGTGCTGCTGTTGGAGATCCTCGTGCGCCTTCCTGTGAAGCCCCTTGTGCGCTTCAAATCCGTGTGCAAGGCGTGGTGCGCCACCATAGCCAGCGCTCATTTCGCCCGCCTGCACTTGGAGCTTGCAAGAGCTACTAGCTCATCATCCATGGTCCTAGTCCCCCGGAAGTGGCAGCCGGAACCGACGAAGCTGGCCTCTCGGTTCGTGCACATCTACGGCTTCCAGCCAGCAGCGCAGAGCAAGGTCGCCAAGCTCATTCTCAGGAACGAGCCTCGTCCCAATGGCATCCCACGATTCAGCATCCCCATGCACTGCGACGGACTGGTTCTGATCCCCAGCGTCACTGGGCACATATTCGTGTGCAACCCGGCCACCAAGGAGTTTGTCGAGTTGCCGCGGGGCACCCGGAATGTGTTGTTGGACCAAAGGGTCGCCTTTGGCTTCGATCCTTGCAGTGGTACGTATAAGGTGGCTAGGCACTTCTTGCGCTCATACAGTGAGGGACAAATATACACAGAATACGACGTTGGGCATGATGAGGTCTTGACGCTTGGCGATGGCAGAGAGAGGTTGGAGTGGAAAGCCGCCATTGATCCACCTTACCCTATCAAGGGCAGGACTCCTGTTTGCTTGCCAGGATTCTTCTACTGGAGTGCCGTCCAGTCCGTGGCTGACGCCGACCACGGCAAGCTCGCCACAGATGTTATCCTTCGATTCAGCATGCGTGATGATACGTTCACTGTGCACCCCAATCCTCCATGCAGGAGTTGCCTGTTACGTTGTCGTGTCAATCTGCCCATACCAAGGAGTGTTCGTGTTTTTGCTTGTGCTTCAGCTGATCAAGACGCGGTATTCCTCTCCGTGGATGCCCGGGTGCAACCTCCACGATGGATCTCTTGAAACAGTAGTCAATATGCGATATGGCCTGTCGTATGACCACGGGGAAGGGGTAAATTTCGTCCATGGTCCACTCCCTTTTTTGCATTACATGGTGCCATATGTGGAATCTTTGCTGCGTATTGGACCATTGCTAGCCAGCTGACTGTATGTTAGCAATACCAATAAAAGAAAGGGTATGTTTGAATGCAATACCGGTTCCTTCTCGTTGCTGACCGATCTCAGTCACAGCATTGCGTTGGGAATGTAAGATTGATGTCCGTTTTACCAACAACACGAGGAACACACCGAACAAAAAAAAATACATCAACCGCGGGCGTCCTCAGCGATGGACCAGGAGCTCCGTAGAAAGGGACGCTTGAGAGTGAGATCCTCATCATGCCCAGACACTGTCGCACCACGACGCGCCATCACCGAGTCGAGTTGTTTGGGAGTGCAGCCCAAATCGAGCGCTGTCTAAGGCTAAATACAGGCAAGAGACTGATAGCGAACAAGTACTGCGATGGAAAGATGAAAAAAACTTTGAAAAGAGAGTCAAAGAGTGCTTGAAATTATCAGGAGAAAAGCGGATGAGGGCTGGCAATGCACCCCAATCGTATGCGGAACAACTTCTTCCACCGATCGGCTCAAGGCGTGGACTGTTGTCGGCTGCACCAACAGCCCTAGGTGCCTTCAGTAGCAGTCTCCGCACACCGCAAGGCACGTCCCTCGAGGTGCTGCCCTGCAACAGCTTACAAGCTCCTCATCCGATCCATCTAGAAACACGGACCAAGAAGTCTAACATACATGCGAGTCGACGGGTTATGGAACCTAGGATGCACAAGGAAGCTGACGAGCAGGAGGCCTTCACAGACCGCACCACTGGCCAACCCTGATCTTCTGTGAAGGATTCCAGGTGGAGCAATGCGTATCTGGACCTGAAAGATGGTGAACTATACCAGCGGGGCGAAGCCAGAGGAAACTTTGGTAGAGGGCTCGAAACGGTGATGACGTGTAATTTGCATCTACATACAAATAAACGATGATATGCAGTAAAGAACCAGCATGATTGTACTAACTTTAGCACCGTGAAAATTTCCACTTGCATCATTATCAGAGATTCCGTGTCAACGGCCATTAACACCATGCCGACGGAGATTTAACATTGGTGGTCCAGGAGACAGCTTCGCTTCTATAGTTAGCCTTATTCGGCCAGCTGCCTCCATTGCAGCGTCTAATGAATCTGAATCGGTAGCACGGTAGCGACCAGCAAACTTAGCCTTCTTCCATGTGAAATTCACAAAACTAAGCTCATTGGACACCACAAACAAAATCTACAGCCTTTTCGTAGCCTCTAGCCTCTTAACTGAACGACCCTCAAGTCTGCAAACAATCTTGAAGTAGGAGCACGCGCTAAGAAATTTCACACACAAGTGAAAAGTAGAGTAATATATTGGCCAAGAAACCTGCAAATAAAGAACATTACATCAACCCCCAAAAACCCTAAATCGCAAGATAGAACAAACCTAAAAGCTAATGCAAAGAATAAGATACAATCTGAAATGTGTGCATGCTGAAAATCTTATAAACACGTGAAATATGAGTCTTTCCTTGCATTTCCATCAAAGAAATTCGTTTGTGCAACACTGATCAGGATATTGTATTTTTTTTAGAAAGAGATTTTTATCCGAACTCTGAAGCATGCTCAAAGTACGTATGATCTTGGAAACCTGGTCCTCAGTTCTTAGAGAATACTTGTAGCAATCTCAAAATGCAATTTCACATAATGAGACCTATAGAGCAGAGTACGCGAAAGCTAATTGTGTGGCCTTTTAAGCCAGCCGACAGGCAAAGGCAAGATGGGTAACTACTGCCTGTTACCCATCCAATCTATTTAGTCCATGAATTTTCAGTTTAGTTCTCATTTGATAATCTGGAGCTCTTATCTCGGTCCCGTGTAAACTGTCACTATTGGCAGCAATGTTTTCAAGTCGTCCGATTAATCGTGTGAAAGCATCTAGGCCCCTAAGTGGATTTCGGTGATTAATGTCAATATAAGATTACTATGACTAACGTGTGTTTTGCAGAGGCAATTAAGTTAGGTCATGGTAATGGAGATCGATTGGGCAATTGAGGTTGTCATGCCCCTACGATGGAAATCGTTTCGGTTTTCAAAGGATGGACGACAAGGTTAAGGATAACTAGTTCTAAGTGTCAATTGAAGTTAGAGAGACACTTAGAGTAGTTTAGGACTTTGTTTTTCCTTTGGCCGTACTATGAAGGGGGGTATGAACGGGTAGCTTGACCTAGTTGAGTCTAGTGAGTTAGGTGTGGTGCACACTTGTTAAAACTAGCTCTAGGTAGCTCCTATGAATGCCTAAGATCCTTTGGAGCAAACTTCATTCACATATAATCGAGAGTTGGAAGTGAATGGAGGGTCAAATCTTGACCGGACGCCGGCTCGGGTCTTGACCCGGACGGACGGCGCAGGTCCGGGTCGATTCATTTGATTGAGGAGAACAAATCTGAGTGACCGGACGGCTGGGGCCAGCGTCCGGTCGACTCAAAGAAGGGTCCGAATTTGAGAAAATGTGACCGGACGCGTCCGGTCGGTCAAGTGACCAGACCACGAGTATCCGGCGTCCGATCGATTCTGATAAGCATCCAAGAGCGACCGGACACGTCCGGTCAGTGCTGACCGGACCCTATCAGCGTCCGGTCATCACTTGGAAACTGTTGCGCGGGTTGAACTGACTGGAGCGTCCGGTCAATACGATCGGAGCGTCCGGTCATCCATGAAGCTCATAACGGTTCGCTTTTCAGGTGACTTATAAATAGAAGCTTCACTGTGTGTGTGGAGTTACTTTTGCTCATTCCAACAATTTGAGAAACACGTTTGTGAGTGCCAAGAAGAGCAAGGTCCTAGTGAGGTGTTTGTGATTTGAGAATCCAAGAGTGAAACCTCATTAGTGAATCAAGAGTAGACAAGTGTGCATCCATCTTCTCATTAGGCTTCGCGTGGTCAAGTGAGAGTTCGTGCTTGTTACTCTTGGTGATCGCCATCACCTAGACGGCTTGGTGGTGATTGGGAGCTTGGTGATCACCCGGCGGAGCTTGTGGGTGACCCAACTCAAGTTGTGAGCGGTTTTGGGTGATTCGCCGCGATGGAGTGTCGAAGAATCAACCCGTAGAGAGCACTTGATCCTTGCACGGATCAATGGGGAGCTACACCCTTGCGCGGGTGCTCCAACGAGGACTAGTGGAGAGTGGCGACTCTTCGATACCTCGGCAAAATATCGCCGCGTTCCTCTCTCCATTTACCTTGAGCATTTACTTTAAGTATTTACTTTGAACAATTCAATACTCGTCTTTACATTCATAGAATTGTCATGCTAGAGTAAGTTTGGAACATAGGTTGCAAGTCTTTTGTGCGTTGATTTGATAGAAACACTTTGTCTAGGCAAGGGGTTAATTGGGCTATCCGTAGGATTTGATTATTGAAAGAAAATTTAGAATTAGCCCAATTCACCCCCCCCTCTTGGGCATCTTGATCCTTTCAATTGGTATCAGAGCCTCGTGCTCACGTTTTTAAGCCTAACCGCTTAGAGCAAGATGTCTCAAGGGGATGGACCTCCTCCTATCTTCGAGGGGGATGATTTTTCATATTGGAAAATTCGCATGGAGGCTTACCTAGAAGCTCTAGATGTTGGAATTCTTAGAGCCGCCTCTCAAAGGTTCCCAACACCTAAGAATGCCGCACAACTCCAAGCCGATGAAGTAAACTATGAAAAATGGAATGCAAAGGCTCGCAACACCATCTTTAGAGGCCTTTGCAAAGATGTGTTCAATCGTGTAAGGAACCACAAAGACGCCCATGCTCTATGGTCGGACGTTTGTGCGCTCCATGAGGGAACCAAGAGTGAGCGTGAGGAACGCTATCATCTTGTGATTAAAAAGCTAAATTCTTTTGAGATGCTTCCCAAAGAAAGTGCTAATGAAATGTATTCTCGTTTAAATGTTCTTGTAGAGGAAGTCAATGGGCTTGGACTTACTCAAATGTCACCATCCGACGTTGTGAGAAAGATCTTGAGTGTCCTCCCCATTGACAAATATGGGCACATTGTGACCGTGCTACATCAAGGTGATCTTTCCGCCGCTACACCGACACAAATCTTGGAAAAGATCAATGCTCATGAGATGTACATGCACATCACGCCACAAGATGGCTCATCCTCTACAAAGAAGAAAGAGAAGGACTTAGCATTCAAAGCTAGCCAAGATAAGGGCAAGGCAAGACTTGAGTATGAGAGCTCAAGTGATGAAGATGATGAAGAAAGTCTTGCTCTCATGGTGAAGAAGACCACCAAGATGCTAAAGAAGCTAAACAAGAGTGGCATCAAGTTTGACGGCAAGAAGAAGTTCTTCACTAGCTCAAGAAGAAAGTCAATCTCCGAGATGGATTGCTACAATTGTGGCGAACTTGACCACCTAGCTCATCAATGCACAAAGCCCAAGAAAGACAAGTTCAAGAACAAGGGCAAGAAAGATGATTTAAGTGATGAAGATGAAAATAAAAAGAACAAGCCATACAAGAAGAGAGATGGCAAAAAGAGAGACTTCTACAAGAAGAAGAAGAGTGGCAAGGCCTATATTGTCGGTGATTGGCTCACGGACATTGATTCCTCAAGTGGATCATCCGATGATGAGAATGACAATGAGAAGGTGGCCGCCATTGCTATTGATCTTGCATCCTCACCGCCACCATCGCCATCATCCTCTACACACCTATGCCTTATGGCCAAGGGTGAACGCAAGGTAACTAAGAGTGATGATAGTAGTGATGATGAGCAAGCTAGTGATGATGATAGTGATAGCGATGATGATTCACCCACATGATGATCTTGTCAAAATATTAAGAAAATACACTAAGATCATTAGAAAGAGTAGAGCTAAAAATGATTCACTCTTAGCTAAGTGTGATGCATTGGAAAAGGCTAATGATGAGCTCAAAGAAACAAATGACT